GGCCCCCCGCGACCCCGGCCCGGGCCGCGGCGGCGCTCACCTTGCGGGCGCATCCAGGGGAAGAGCTGCGTGGGCGACGGGCTCTGCTCCGAGCCCTCGGCCTCCTCGCCCAGGCCGCTGGCGGCCGCGAGCTTGCAGTCCGCGTACTGCACCAGGTCTGGGTCCTGCGCGCCGAACAGGCTCTGGCGCTGCAGCGGGTCGTAGCCGTAGAAGTTGCCCGGGTCCCCGTGGCACGCCACGGCGCACGGGTTCTGCTGGTAGGGCGCCGTGGACAGCGACGACGGCCCGTGGTAGAACTCCTGGATCTGCGACGGGTGCTGGAAGCTGCCGCCGCCGCTGGGACCGTACACCACGGTGGGTCGGCCGCCCAGGTCCTGGGCGAAGCCGCAGTCATAATAATTGGGGCGCAGGGACTCCCCGGTTTTGTATTTGGAGAACAGTGAGTTGACGAAATAAGAGCTCATTTTATTGAATTTTGAGGCGGCGGCGGCGGCGGAGGCTGTAGTTGGGGGCTGGTGGGGAGGGGTGGGGAGGGGGAAAGGGAGGGAGAGAGAGAGGGAGAGAGGGAGAGAGAGGGAGAGACAGACAGAGACAGAGACAAAACGCGGATTCGCCGGCTCCGGGTCACCCCCGCCAGGAAAGGAGAGGGGAAGGGAGGAGGAGAGGAAAAAAAGAAAGAAAAGAAAGAAAAAGGCGAAGAAGATCTCGAAGCCGCCGCACTTTTGTGATTTCCAGGAATAGCAGAAAGGACCGAGAAGCCTCCCAAAGTCTCTGCTCGGCTGCAGCCGGGCAGCGCGCCCTCCCCCACCCCACCCCCCACGCCCAAATCTACCGCCGCTTAAGGAGGTCCGCGCTTTACATTTCGAAGAAGGGATGCCAGTTCATAAACAGTTTTCGGTGATTTACTTCCCTGCAAATGAGTTGTTTCATATTTTGCACTGTCTTTTCACGATCGTTTGCATCCATTAGAGACCCCGCATCCTATTGGCTTCTCTCTACTCCTCCCGGACAGGACGCAGAGCGAGGGTGCGAGCGAGAGAGCGAGAGAGGAGAGAGGAGAGAGCGCCAGGGAGCTGGGGAGCGCGGAGAAAAAGGAGGGGAAGGGAAAAAAACACCCAGGGAGAGGGAGAGAGAGGGGGCGAGCGAGGGGGCGAGGGAGAGGGGGCGCGGGGAGGAGGAATACGGATTAAAGCTGTTTAACTACCTACATTAATGAGATATCTCGCGCCTCCCAACAAATCAAATACCTTCGCGGACCACCCCCAAAGGCTGGTGTGGGGGCGTCGCGGAAAAAAACCACGCGCGCGCGCAGACACGACGCGCGCCGGGCGCAGGCACCGCTGTTAATTTCGCGATTTTAACGAGGCAATTGGAGTCTTTCTAAATGTCAGGGTCGCTTCGGAAAAATGTAAAAGAACACGGTTTAATTGCGCCGAGTTTTAAAAGGTCCTATAAATGTAATTGGTATTTTAATACAAGTTATCAAATCATACAGCTTCCTCTCCTAAACATATTTTCAGACAAACGAGGTAGTCATATTTAAAGCTTTAATGATCAATTTCCTTATTATTGATAAAGGTTTAACTATCGTGTGCAGGGAATTGGCTGGGTAACCGGCCCCCCAAAAAAACGGCTGTAAACTCTTTAACAAACTATAAAACGCAATAAAGCCGGAGTCTGTTGTTGTTTATGCCGCAGCGTATAAAGGCTGCTAGCATTTTACGAGCTCTTTCCTCTACAGCTATAAAACTGCAGCTTCCACCGCCCCCGCCGCCGACTGCAGCTCGGTGGGGGTGAGGAAGGCGAAATGAGAACGATTATGGAGGTTTTGGGGGGTTATTTTCCGGCGCAAACAGTGACTTTTTTGAGGTTTGGGGCTCCTGCAGCCCCCGTGCCAGGCACCTGCCCCCGGCCGTCCCCTTTGCGCCCCGCCCAGCCACTCAAGAACTTTGCCCTCATTAAACAAACAAGCTAGGGGTTTTCTGTGGAGCAGGGGTCTAGGAGGTCCGGGGAGAAGGAGCCTCCCTGCGAATGGGCTGAAGGCTGCAGTCTTGTGCACCCTCGGCCCTCTGGGGGAGGGGTGCTGGGGTCTCCAAGATGCTTTGGCCCAGTCAGCCTTTAGGGAGCAGACTGTTGGGCGGGAGGGGTCTGATGCCACCAGCGAGGGACGCCCAATGGGGCTGCCCCACACCTGCACCCAGGCCCAGGAACCGAGCCCAACTGGCACCAGCCTTGCCAGGCCGAGCTTCCGCCCGGGCCTCTGATCCTACCCACACATCCAAGCCGGGGAGGCACCAGGCCCTGCTCCCTGCCTCCTGCTGCTGTCCTGACCCTCTGCTGCTGGGGGCAATGCTGGGGGCAGGGACTGTGGTTCCTGGATCTCCAAGGTCCACCGAGCCGCTGTCCCTACCTACACTGACCTTGGGATGAAGGGGTCTCCCATAGAGGCAGGCCACTGAGTGCCCCGTTTTCTTTCTTCTCCCCTTGGGAAGCTTCTAGAGAACCCGGCTCTCCCTACAGGCCTGGGGACCTGAGGCCTTGGAACCCAGAAGCAGAGCCAGCTGGGTGCAGGTGACAGGCTAGGCCCACGGCCTCCTCTGCCTTCCTGGCCTAGGCAGAAGGTGCAGAAGGCCCGGGTCTGCGGGTCAGAACCCCTGGCTGCCCCAGGTAGCCGGCAACAGAAAGGGGCGGAAGGACAGAGAGAAATGGAAAGAAAACCTCCAGCAAGCGAGGCGGAAGGAAGTGGCTTCACTAATAAGCTCAATTCATTGTTTATTCAGGACTCCGTGGTTTGCCTTCTGAGAGGTGCCATTGGGGGAGCCCAGACACCCCAACCTTGGTAAACAAGAAGCCATCCCCCTGGCCACAGGAGAGCTACCACGGGGTCACCACAGCCCTCCGAAAGCGAATCTAGAGAGCTGGGCGCGGTGAGAGGGGGCCAGGGGAGCTGAGGACCAGGTCTGGGGTTTCAGCGGTGGCCGAGGCGCCCCGGGAGCCGTGTCAGGCTGCTGAGGGAGTGGACATTTCTATCACGCGGTTTATGGTCCCGATTTGAGGGCTCACCTGTGAGGAAGAAATTCAATGGCTTGTTCTAAATCATCCCTACCCCGTGCCTACCTCGGAAATTTCTGATGGGAGGAAAATGTTTCTATTATAAGAAAAAACAAGCTAGAGCGAGGAGATAATTTATAAACACCCAACGGAGCGCAGATTTATTAGAGAAACTCAAGTGGCGGAGCAACTCCGTTTGCCTCCCCGCGCCCATCCGGAGAGAAGGGACGCGGCCGAGCTCGGGGCGACTCCGAGAAGGCGGGTGCCGCGTGCTCGCGCAGGTTTGCCGGGCGGGGAGGCAGGGATCGGCCGGCCGGGAGCAAACTGGAATCCGGCGGCGGCCTGAGCGCGGGTGTCAGAGCGCGGAGCTCTGGGTCCAGGCCCGGGCTGCGGGGCGACACAGACACCGGCGCCCCCAGGTTCGCCCGCGCGCTCCGGGTCCCGCTGGAGCCGGGGTCCTGGAAGCCGCCGCCCTCACCTGGAAGCCAGGGGACGCCCGGGCACGCCGAGATCTTGTGCCCCGCTGCAGCGCCCGGCCCCACGCCTAGCCAGGAAAGGGCGCTTCGGGAGGGGGACCCACTTGGGGTGCGCAGAGCACCCTGAGCAGCTTTTCCCCGCCGCCCTGGGAGACCCTTGTCCCGCGCGGGGTCGCCGGGCGCGCACAAAGGCTCCGCATCCTGCGCCCACGCGGGGCGCTCGGCCAGCCTGGGGCTCAGCCGCATCCCCGCAAAACCGGGGCTCTGTCCCCGCCAAAACTCGGGGGCCTCTGACCGGCTCACCGGTCGCCTTCGCAGCGGAGTGCGCGGCCGCGGCCGGGGTCCCTGCCCGGCCGCTCACCTGACCCGCTCACGCCTCGGCGGACGCGGCCCTGCCCCCTGCCCGGAAAATCCCAGCGCTCCCAAACCGAGCCTCCTCTTGATTTGCACCCCGTTATTCCTGTTATCCGTGTTGCCCCGCGTTTTCACGCATTCGTTGCCCCGCGGAAGCTAGCCACCAACGGAGCGAGAAACGCAGCTCTCTTCCTCGTGGGGGAAATTCAGAAAACTGACCCTTCGAGGAGCGATAGGGAGGGGGACACCGTTCTATCCGAACCCTATACAGATGGGGGGGAAAGGACTATAACGATTCCTAGATCCCTGTATATTTATTTCTGCGCATTATTCATGACTTTTGGTACCGCTCGGTTCTTAGACGCAGGGCCGCACAAGGTGCGGTGTGAAGCCGCTGGAGGCGCCAGCCAGGGCGCCCGCGACTTTCGCGTGGAGCAAGGGTGCCATCTAGCGGCCGCTCTGTGCAAAGGCGCACGCGACCTCCTCCGAGAGCGAAGCCGCGCGGAGCAGAGCCGGGAGAAACGTTCACTATTAGCAGAAAAACAGGAAGGAAAACGACGGCGGCGGAGAAAAAGGCATCGGGATCGAGAAAAGGGTCTCAAAATTGTGCAAATGACCTAAAAGAAAGAGAGGAGGGAAAGAAAAAAGGAGGCTCCTCGCTTTGCTGTCTTTTTTTTTTTTTTTGCCCTGCTTAAACCTTCCCTGGCCAGCCCCGCACTGCGGCCCAAGAGCGCGCCCTTCGTTCATAGCCCAGAAAAGGGAGAATCGCGCCCCACAGGACTGCTTCAGATTCCGAGGAGGAACAATTGGGCTGTTTGTGCGGAGGGGAGGGCGGACTGGGGTTATAAAAGGATCTAGAGGCTGCCCTGGCCCAGACGTCTGGCCCTGGGGACCCGCGAGGGTGTGCGTGTGCGTGTGTGTGCACGCGCGTGCGCGGGGACTTCTTGTTTCGGACGCCTGGTTTTGGACGGGATGTGAAGAACAAAGACAAGAGTCCAAACTGCCGTGGCCGAAGCGTCTGCAACAACAAAGCGTCCCTCCCCTCGCCCTGGGCGAGCTCCCCCTTGGGGCCCTGGGGACCCTGAGCCCCGCGCAGTGAGGGCAGGGGCTGCAGGCCAGGGCCAGCCATTCAGTCCCCCTGCCCGGCCGGGAGCCCGGGCTCAGCGGATGCGCTCTCAGCCCCGGAAAGTTTCCCCTCTCTGTTTGCTTTGGGGCTGTTTAGTTTCTTAACCTTCAGAAATTTATACGCTATAAACTTTTATAGCGGTCATATTCTTTTATTGCCGCGCACACGGCATTGAATTCCTCTCCCGGCTTCTCGCACTCTCTCGGTCTCCCTCTCTGAATCGCTCTCTTTTATGACAACCGATTTCCCCATGTCCGGCTTCCCAGCCTCCGAATCCTCGCCTTTGTCCAGAAAGAAGCCACTCCCGGGCTGGGGACGCAGACACCACCGGCCCCCGCCCCGCGGCGCTCCATCCGGTTCCAGCGCGGCCTCCTGCGTTTCCTTTTGGCGGAAAGCGGCCTTGCTGGTTTACGGTCAGCGCTGGCTGGTTCCCGGGAACCAGGAGGGAAGTCAGCCTAGTCTACACCCGCTGTAAAGCCGGGTCCACTTCCCATCCCTAACAGAACCCTCCTCCGTGGCTGCCAGCCGGGACCTGCCGAGCGCAGCCGGAGCTGCGCGGCCTCCTGCGACCTCGGCCTTCGATCCATCTTTTCGTTAGAGAGGGGTAGCCCGCGCGGGCTGCCTGCACTCCGGCCGGCCTTTGTCCCCACGCCGTCTGGCCGCAGGGTCTGGAGGGCTGCCGTGGGGTGGGAGAGCCGGGAGAGAAACCGCAGCCCAGGGTGCCGCTGCGGCAGGGGATCGCACGCCTGGGCGCGAACCGGCCTGGCCCGGAGGCCCTGAGAGGACCTGCGAGGCGCCGCTGGAAACCGAATTCCATTCTGGGCCCGGAAGGAAATTATTCTTGTTTCTCTGCCGAGGAGACTTTGTTCAGCACTCCACGCTCTCCCCCAGCCTTGAGAGCTGCGGGCCCAGGCTCAGCCCTGAGCAAACCCAGAGCCTCCGGCCAAGCCTGCTGTTCTGTGGCTCCAGCCCCAGCTGCGGGGCGGACAGCTCCGCGCTCCTCCATCCCAGCAGCCCCAGCTTCCCCGGCCTGTCTGCCCCAGCACCCCGCTGCAGCTCGACTGAGGTTTGCTCTTGCAGGGGTTTCTAAGTGGCCAGGCCAAGGGGCAGCAGCGAGGACGCCTCCCAGGGCTCTGGAGCCTTGCCTTCCTCTGGCTCCAGGGTGGCCAGGGCTCCAGGACAGCTCGGCCTGCGACTCCGTTGCTCCCTCTCCTGCCAGGCTGTCCGGCTCCTCCACTCCCGCAGTCTGCGGGGAGCGTTGGGCCCCCTGTAAGCCTGCGTTTGGGACCTGGGGTCTCCGCCCGGCTGTCACTGCACTGGAGCAGAATGCTCTGCAGGGACCCTGCTCTGCAAGGTCTGGGCCCCTGGGGGACAAAGTCTGGGGGGCACCGAGGGGACACAACCACCTCTGTTTTCCAGTCTGTGCTTCTGACAGCTGAGGTCGCTACCTACGGCCATAACGGAATAAGACTCAGAGAGGTTTATTCTCTAGAGTGATGTATTTTTTTGTTTTTTTCTTCTCTTTTTCTTTCAAAACAAACAATCAGCCTCTAGGCCCC